AGAAATAACGGGGCGAGGGAGCGAGGGAAGGTGTGTACAGGCTTTTCTAGTTGAGAAAAGCCCGAGAAACCTTGGAGCTCGATCCATTCAATTTTACCTGCACAATAGCTCCGGACCTGCAGCTTCTTCTTCTTCTTCTTCCTACGTGAATTCCTTGATTTATTTTTCCCTTGCCATTTTTAATATGTGTATACTTACTTCATGCAGGGCCCCGATTGTAAGGAAAACTCGAACCTGTGTGCGAATTTTCAATTTAATATGTATACCACAAAATCTAGATCTATTCGTGTAATTTGTGTTGATACAACAAAAAATATCACGTTTTTAATCAATTTTGATATTATCGTGCAGACCAAACAGCTTTTCACGAATCATGTAATACGGCCAAAAAAAGTCTTATCCGAATTATATAGTAGATGTATTCTTTAAGTATAACAGCGACAGCAAAAGTCCGTTTTTTTCTGTATAGGAGTGAGTGTACATGTATATTTATATATACATAACCATTATGTCCTTCGTAAAGTTGAGCCTGATTTACCTGTTTGCTGATCAAGTGGGTGGAAAAGAGAGAGAGAGAGGGCCCGAGGAAGTCTGCCAGTGCTAATCGTCACTTACTAACCAGCGCGCAACTTGTAGTTGTTGGATTACTTCCAGGTTTTTTTTCGTGCATGTTTACCTCCATCTGGTCCGAATAGTGAAAATTTCGAGGATAATTTTTTTCGAGAGTTTTTATCAACAATTTATTACTATACTATTCGCACAACTGTCATTGGGACAATATGACATAAGACAGTATACAACGAGTAGAGAGGTGATTCGAAGATTAATTCTGAACGAAAATAAAAATCAATGTGAGCAATGACAGTGACGAATGATCCATCGATGAATTCAAGACTATACTTATACGCGCACAATAGTTTAAAGAAGACGAATTCTACACGCTGTTCATCAGTCAGGTACAGAAGGTGGAGATTTTCATCCAAATCTACCTTGAAACTACTAAAATATGTATATCATTGTATTATCTATCGGTTATTGGTTAGCTCATATTGAATATTGGCCGGTGGTAATTAGTCATCTACTATTGTATACCCACATCGATGCAGTATATTTGCAAGTATCTTCATTTTTTATACTTGTAAAAAAAAAAAAAAAATTACTCCTTTAAACATACTCATAAGATTGTAAGCATCATCATGATCATCTTGGATAATACGACTCTCTCGTAATATCATTCGTTAATTAGCTGGAAAAAAGTATACCTGTATAAACACGCGGCAATTAAAGCGTCATTTGACAATTCAATTTTAATTTATTCCATTAGCTGAAGTTACGCAATTCATGTGCAGCTTATAGACACACGCGTATAGCCATATAACACACAGTTAAAAATTATATAAATAAGATGCAATAGATGTATACGTGTTATACAAATGTACGTAACTCCGATGATGTACATGTATTGGGACGCGAAATAAGAGGTTCCTTGTGCGCGTGTATACAATACCCCTGATGAATGATATTTTTTAATACGCATACCGCAACAGTGTATGTTATTGTTTTACACGACGAGGAGGACGTCGAAGAGAGAGAGAGAGAAAAAAAATGATAAATATATTAAGTACAAGCGATACATATGGGAGCGCATGCACGCGGGCCAGGAAAGAGAGAAAGTTTTTAATGAGGATACGCTCGATAATTAAGCGCAAGAGGAGGGTTGGGTACGGCAAAGTTTGTACAAGGCGTGTGAAAAGCTTCGAGAAAATTAACTCCCTTCCTCTTTCTCTCCGCGATCTGATCCTTTTTTTTTTTTTTTTTTGTATCCCTAAAGAAAAAAAAGGAGGTCCAAAAGTGATGGAGAACTATAGATATAATACCTTGTACGCGGGGAATTTATTCCATTTAAGTAATTACTTCAATTGAAAGCATAGGTAAGGCGAATTCTCTCCTTTCCATACACCTACATTTGTTTATCGAATCGCGTAATCACGCATGTGATGAGTAAGCATACAAGTACCTATACGTGTATGTATATATTCCGCATTAAAGCGTAAAATAAGCGTGAGTTCATCTCTCGGCTCGAGCTTTTTGATCTTTGCAATACTTAAGTATATACATTGATGTAGGCATGCAGTGAACGTAGCGATGTGCAAAATTATCTCTTGTCGATAACGACGCTGGAAAAAAAGAAAGTAAAAATAAAAGTGAACAAAAAGATTACGATGCCGATTCTTGTGTATCGTATAAAGTATAGGACATTACCCAAGGTAGACATTGCTTTTCTTTTTTTTTTTTTTTTTTTTTTTTTTTTTTTTTTTTTTTTTTTTTTTTTTTTTTTTTT